ATCCTTCGTCTGATCTTTCTGCACGATTGGTACTTCCGGAGAGTCAATAGGGTCAGATACAGGTGAAATAGAAGGTAGAGGTAGGGGAGGGTCTATAGAAACTGATGAATTTAAAATAGTTTGTTGTTGCTATAAAAAATAAAATATTTGTTTGGAATCCATTTTTATAAGGGAGATATAACTTAATCCCCATCCCTCAATGAATATCACACGGGAAATGTTAAAAATATACCGAATGTTCTGAAGGTTGTTCATTTGAAAATGGCGGTTGGATTGTAGTTGGTAATTGAATTTGTGGTTGCGCATTAACATGTTCACTTGCCTTTTCATTCTTTTCTTGATCAATGACTTCTTTATTCTCATCAGCATTTAATTTTTTATTTTCTTCCAAAGTTTTTGTTTCATCCAATTTTTGCTTAACATTTTCATTTTTCTTTTCTTGTGTATTTGCATCACCTTCTTTATCTGTCTCAAGTTTAGCAGTTTCAGAATCATTCAAAGCCGCCACAATATTCGCATCAATTTTTTGATTTTCCTGAAATGTTTTCACTTTCATTCTTCTACTAAACATTAATTTTCCATTAAAAACCTTTTTTCCTTTTGTATCATCAATTTGATTCTCATTTATTTTACCCTGATTTTCTATTGATTTTGATTGTTGATTTTCATTTAAATTTGCTTGCTCTTGTTGATTATTCTTTATTTCTTCATTATTTTTTAAATTTTGATTGGAAACTTCTAAAGGAACAGAAGGGTTTCTATTGTCATCTTTTATGGATTCTTCGGCATTATTTTTATTCATGACATTTACATTTAATTTTTGATTTTCTCCATCTAATGTATTCAATTTATTTGTATTCTCAGTGCTTTCAGAACTCGCAATAACTCTGAAAATTTTGTTAATTAACCTTTAAAATTAATTTTAAAGTAATAAAAGGTAAATTAACTGTTATGCGGTTAATTCCACAGCAATTTAGCTTTAATTGTTATGTAACTTAATTCAGTTTTAAAAAAATCTGTAAAAAATATCTAACAACAAGTCTGGACTAATCAACATAATCTACAGACTAGCAGCTTAATTTAAAACGGATTTTTTTTGAAAAACCCGGGCAAACCACTAATAAAAAAAGAGGCGCCCCTTATCCCCCAAATTTCAATAACGGCAAGATTTTCATAAAAAATAATTTAATTTAAAAACAAACAACAAACTTTGCTTTAGATTTTTCTTGTGTTGTTCCACCATCAAGCAACGCAACTTTTTCAAATAAATCCTTATCAACCTGATAATCTTTAATCTCTTTTACATAAACAGTGTAATCTTTAATTAATTCAGGAAAAGCGTTTATCTCCCCTTAAAGTAAACATTTTTAATTTTTTTTTAAATTTAAAACAAACGTATAAATTTTTTATTATCTTGTTCAACAACAAAAAGAGACAAATTATTTTTTAGTGCGCTCTCCAAGAATTGTATGAAAGGTTTGCCATCAATATGTTGTTTATAAATTAGACCACGAGCATCGCCTTTCTGAAGTGAAAATTTTTTTTAATTTGAGAATTTTAAGGTTTAAGGAGCAAGAAAGGAATACATCTCCATAAGCGATCCATGTGGATACGGGAGTTTTATTTTATTGTTTCACATTATATTTATTTGCGTTCGATAAAGAAAAATAAATATGCTTATGCTGGACATCAAAATTAATTATATTAGAAGTTGTAATATAAAATTTCCGTAAATTTCATTGGATTACGGATAAAAAAGGGTAAAATTGAACTTCGTACCCCTTGCTTGTTCCAAGAGAAGCCAAAATGGTCAGTCACCTTTTAAGTCTGACCACTCCACTTTGTGGAAGGATAAAAAAAAAAGGGGGGGGGGGTACGAAGTTCAATTTTACCTAAAAAAGCCACAAATGGAGAAAAACCCCTGTACACAATTTGAATATAAATTCTTCAAAATAACGAACCTTAGCCTCAAAAAAGTCCGGTCTATTTGAGAATTTAATAGCCACAACATTAACTTCATCCTTCTCCTTTGCAGATAACATCATTACACCCTCCGCAGGAGAATAGTCTCGTGTAAATTTTGAAGAGAAGAGAGTTACTGAAAATAAATTTGATTAATTTAACGAAAAAAAGTCTGTAAAAACCTTCACATTTTGGATCACCACAAAGTTTTGTAGGAAAATCTTGTTTTCCTTCTTTGTTCGCAACTGTTTTTGAAATAAAGCTCCAATGAAAGACAAGCTAAAAAACATTCAAGATTTTAAAAAACAAGAGAAAACACTTACAAAATATACAAATATAGTAGTTATTGAGAATACCCGCGTCATTTTTTAAATAATTTTAAACGTCACAAATAAAGCAAAATAATAAAATTAAATATTTCTTTTATTTGTTTTTCAACAAAAATTAACAATTTTCTGCTTGCATTAATAAATCTAGACTTTAATTGATAATAAAAATACGTAGAGGCTAATTAATTGCGGTAAAGTTAAAAGAAAAATAAAAAAGAGGTTAAACGTGTAACGTGAAAATATTTAAAGCGTAACGCAACTAGCACAACAATGACGAAAAAATTCTTTGAAAAATAAACAAATTTCATAATATCTAATAGAGAAATAAAATTGAGAACGTCAACACAGAGAGAAGGGATGTTTTGTAATATTTATAAGGAATTGGTATTATGAAAATTTTATTTTTTGATATTTTAACAATTGAGAAACAAAATTGTTGAAAGAATAAAGAAAAGTAATAGAGAGAGACGCAATGAAAATTAAAGAAAAGAAAAGGCTCCCATACAAAATCTCTATTCCTTAAAATCGCTATTCCTTAAAATCTCTACTAGGGTAAAAATGCTTAAAATCTCTATTCCTTAAAATAACTATTCCTTAAAATCTCTACCGGGGTAAAAATAATTAAAATCTCTACACCGTGCAAATGGACGGTAGAGTCTCAACAAAAGTGTAAAATATGAACTATTCATTGGAAAACCCAGACTTGGTAATGGATACGGATACAATTGATTTAAAAATGGCTGCGGATATCTGCTTGTATCCGCTGTAAATATTGAAGATATAATACACGACTGCTTCGCTGCGGTCGTGTTCATTTTGCTTGCGGTGATCGTATCGAAGCGGCTGCTGTCGTTCCGCTGGACATGCCTGGGTTCATCCGCAGCGGCAAAAACAATACAAGCAAAATAATATCAAAAGATAAGCCAGAAATCAGAACAACGTTTCCGCACTGAACGTTGGCACTCAAAAGGCTTCCGAATGAAAAAATAGACATTTTATCCTATTTTTGGCCGTGTAGAGATTTTAAGGCATTTTACCCTTGTAGAGATTATGAGGAATAGAGATTTTAAGGAATAGTTATTTTAATCATTTTTAGCCGAGTAGAGATTTTAATGCATTTTAGCTGTGTAGAGATTATAAGGCATTTTAGCCCAGTAGAGATTTTAAGGAATAGAGATTTTGAGGGGATACGAAAGAAAAAGAGTAAATGATTGCGTTGGAAGTGGAACAAAAGAATACTTCGACATGGGACAAAATGCCCAATTGAACAAATGTCCATTTGAAAAATACTCCGTGTATAAAATGTTTTTTCATCCAATTGTGTTTCTGTTTTTATGTTTTGATGAAGGAATTTATTGGGAGTTCTGTTAAAATTTAAAATAATTTTCTAACAAATATAACAATAGAAGAGTCAAGACATTATCACAGACTTGAAGACATTTTCTAACTTCTCCACCAAATCTACAGTATCCCTCTCAATTTCATAGTGAAGTTTAGAAAAATTAATTTTAGCTAAAACAAAAAATTCGAAGCTATGTAAAACAATTTTAATTTTTTACCAACAAAAATATTTTTAAAATTTCCAACTAAACAATAACAAAATTCATTGAAATAAACGTGGTTTTCTTCTACTTTTTGTATATTTTCCTTTTCTATTTTTATTTTAAAAATGCAAAGTAAGGCATAAAATAAAATTTTTATTGTCATACATATTTGTGTTATTTAATCGTTACAGTCATTTTAATATATAAAAACTTATTAAATTTTTTTGTTTAAATTTTTGTTTGTTCCCTTAGTAAGCATTGTTAAATGAATTAAATAAAACTTTGATTTTGTTTAATTAAAGAAAAAATTGTTTTTCAAAAAGTCTGGGGTCTTCTTTACTGTTAGGATAGGAATTTAATTTAAAAAAAAGGCAAATTATGGAAGACATGTCTAAAGATCCTTTCCTCAATCCCATCCCGTTTACCAACTTTAATATTAACTAACAAATTAATTTTGTAAGATCACCAACAACGAATATCGAACCTCTCATTTAGGGTTAGGGGCCCGGCTCGGTTCGAAAGATCGAATCGGACTTCGAATTTTGGCCCGTAAATTGACTCAACCGATTCGGCCCGAAAAAATGACTCAAACGTCTTACCGATTCGAAAACACCAACCCTGCTCTCATTACCAACATTACAACAATGATTTGTTTACAAAGTTAAGTGTAAGGACCACCCATGGGAATTAAATCTTATAGGCTGATTTAACTTTGTTTGTTTAGTTGGATATCTTTGAAAGGATAAAAATAAGGGAACGGATATATGAGAATAATCTTTCCTGTTAAATCCTCGTTCAAATAGAGATAGGAAAACATTATTATCTCCTTCGATCTTTAGGGTTATCCCTATTTAAATTAAATAAATTAATTCTTCCCTTCTCTTTTTTTATTCAAAAATCTTTTTTAAATAAAAACAGGTTTTTTAAATTAAAAGAGAGAGAAACAGTCAATTTAATTTTTTAATTTCAAATAAAGCCAACACTCCATTCCAACATTTAATAATTTAATTTTTTTTCTTTAAATTTCCTTCCCTTCCCCCAAACTTTTTTTTTAAAAAACTTTTTTTGTTTGCTTTTATACCTTACTTCCTCCTCTCTTTTCTTCTCCTCTTCCCCCCCCCCCTCCCCCCAAATACCATTAAAACAATATTTTATCACTTTAAGCTTTAAAAAAAATTTTTAGAACGAGAGAGGAAAGAAGGGTTGTAAAAGGCCCTCTCTCTCTCTTTCTCCCTTCTTCACTTCATTTCATTTCCCTCCTTCTCAAAAATTTTTATTTTTTCGTTTATTGGTCTTCTCACCAAAAAATGAATAAATTTTCATTTTCTGTCCTTATCTTCTTTTTATTTTTTATTTTATTTATTGCGCAGTTTGGAATTTTTGTTGAGTCTAAAGATGAATTATTGCTTGTACAAGCTGTGAGAGATTAATTTTTAGAAAAATATTTTTTAATTTTAATCTTTAGTTTTGGCGTCATGGTGATCGTTGGCCAATTACTACTTATGCTAATGATCCAATTAAGGAGGACAGATGGCTGCAAGGATGGGGGCAACTTACACCTGTAAAATTTAATTTCTTTAATGACATAAGATGAAAATCCTTTAATCCACGTGGAAATTAAAATATCAATACTAAAGCCTCTATAAAGAGAGTTATTGGTTTCGGGGAGTATTGGGAATGATAGTTATTCTAGTCGTAAGACTTGAATCTGACCATGGATTTCCATCATTAAGGGCGAAAGATTAAGGGACACGTGGAACACAAAGGTTCAAGAAGAATATCACGTGAATGTTCTAATAGAAACTCGCTCTAATAGAAGCATCCATTACGATTAAGGTTGGCGGATAGTTAGAAATCTTCGGATATCCGGATCCGAACCGAAACTTTACGGATATGTAACTTTTTTCAGATCTGGATCCACTAACCTTAATTACGAGGAGATTGAAATTTTTCTCTCTCATTAAATTTTAATTTTTATTAAAGAAAGGAATGTCTCAACAAGTTATTTTGGGTGATAAACTTGCTCAAAAATATATTAGAGAATTAAAATTTGTCAGTCCTCGTTATAAAAGTACAGAAATTTATGTAAGAAGTACAGACTTTAATAGAACATTAACTAGTGCTATTTCAAATATGGTTGGGTTTTATAAGAATGGAGAACCGGGAGAAGACTTTCCTGAAGATGCTTGGCCGAAAGGGTAAACGTTGGAAATTTTTGGAAAAAATTTTCAAAAATTCTTTTAAAGCTTTACCCCCGTCGCTGTCCACTCTACTAGCAGTCAAAGTGATCAACTCGTTACAGATATGGTTTCTCCTTGTCCTAGACTATCTGAAATGCAAATATTGATGAAGAAAACACCCGAATATGAGAAATTAATGAGTGATAAGAAGGTGGGGTTACTGTAGATTCTCTGTCGAATTTATCATTCAAAAACAAAATTTTAGTGGATATTTGATGATTTAACAAAATTTTGTGGACAAGCAATAAACACATCCAATATTGGAATGTTACAAGATACTCTTTTTATTGAAGATCTTTACAAAAATAAATTAAAATTAGAAATGCCAGAATGGACACAAAACAAAACTATTAGGGCTGAAATTAAAAATATTAGTGATTTAATGAATGAATGGAATAATGGAAGGGGTAAACAAATAAATATTTTTAAAGAAAAGTTCAAAAAAGGAAGAGGACCTTTACAAACAAAAAAACCTTTCAATCCTTTCTCAATATTTATGGCACAACTTAGGAAAAAAATTGGAAGATAAATACGTCCGCAAACTTTGTCCGCAAAAAATTTTGTCCGCAAACTTTGTCCGCAAAAATTATTGTCCATAAAAATTATCCGCAAACTTTGTCAGCATAAAAACTCAAATTTTCTGTTTTTCCCTAAAAATTTAAGATAAAATTTAAAAAATAATTCGAAAAAATCCATTTCCGCATTTTATCCCATTAAAGGCCTTAAGCCCTTCAACGGAGTCGACTTCAGTTTAGAACTCCCAAGAATTCATGGTGGGCCAATACTTTGGCTACTTATTGGAAATATGCTGGCAAAAATGCATTGTTTAAAGCCCGATGCTGATAAAAACAGAACTCCTCGATCAGGCAAAATTTTTTTGAAAAAAATTTTTAAATAAAATTTTTTAGTTCAAAATAGTTCCCCATTGGGTAATCCTATTTGTCAATGGATTAGTACAAGAAAATATTTTGCTTATTCAGCTGTAAGTTTTGAGAAAATATATTTATTTTTTGGAAAAAATAAGTATTTTGTCTCTTAAAATTATTAAAGTTTCCTTCCGTTATGCTAGTGGAATTGGGATAGAAAGGCACTTAATAGTGATATAACCTTTATAACGTGTGTGATTAAAATAGTAGTTCCTCTTAAATATAATAATGGATAAAGCTCACATTTATTTAAAGTTGGGTTGGAAATGCTAAATTCAGAGACAGCTCAAATAACTGAAGTCTAAAATCGAATTCGGAAATCGGAGAGTGGGAAATTTCCAAAATGGAAATAAAAGTTGAAAAAGACATCGAATATCATGGGAATCAGATTTCCAATCCAATTCTCCTTTCATCCATTTATGGCGCCACTTTAACAGAAGTCTATATTTAAACAATAATACTAGTTGTAAATTCAAAAAGAAATAATTTTTTAAATTTTAAGCACGATTCAACACTTGCTGCCTTATTCTCAACATTAGGTTTCCCAAAAACTAATTATCAAGAGGATGGGTAAAAATATTAATTTAGTAATTTTACTAGAATAATCTTATTTAAAAAAGATTTCCTCATTACACAACATGCATTACTTTTGAACTATGGGCAAATAATAGTGGAGGGGATCCTTATATTAAGGTTGGGGTTTCTTTTATATTTTTAAAATTTGTGGAATAGGAGGGAAATTGGAAGGAATCAAAGAAATTGAGATTCTTAGGGTTAATCCTTTTAAAAATACCCGGAAAACACTTAGAAAATGGGAGAAATTAAAAACTGTTTAGAAAATAATAGTTGGAGGAATTTACACTTTCAGGTCATTAAAAATCTTTTAATAAATATTCGGGATCTACACTATTTACTATAGGAATGGAATATCAGACCGAGATGAGGAGACCTTCTTCAAGAGGAGATTTTTCGAGAAGTTCAATTTCTGTTTGTCTTTTATATCGAGAGGTCTCTATTATCGAGGGGTTCTTACAACCAGCGTCAACTGTAAAACTGTGAGGCCTTAGAATCCCAAATTCCATCAAGAAACTGTTAACTTATTACACTCATTTTCCACCAATTTTCAGGCCTTTTATTGGCCACCAGAAAGCAAAGATACTATAGATGTAACACAACACATCACTGGCTGTGAAAATGAATGTAGTTTAAAAACATTTACAAATCGTTCAGAAATATATAAAGCAAAACCTTCACTTGAAGAATATTGCCAAAATACTAATTTTAACAATAATTATTCTTCTTCTTCAAAGGCAATTAAGCCTTTAATGTTAATTAGCTATTGCTCTTTTTTGGTGTTAATTATATTTATGTTATGGCAATAAATAAAAGAGAAGAATGGAAGAAGTTAAGGAAGAGGAGAGAAGACAATTTATGTAAATATATATATTTAAATTGATTGAAGGTTAAAAGAAAATTTTTTAAAGAATTTTTAAAATTTTAGGGGATTTCTGGTGCAATTATATCCATAATTTATTCTATTAGTGGGAAAGACGTTTATTAGGACTGTCTACATATGAGATTTAGAACATCGGAGTTTGAACTTTTTTTCTCGTAAATGACAAAGAAATTCAGATTAATGAACCGAGATACTTTGGGGGGAATTCAAGGCAGGCTTTCAGAAAAATAAAGTCAAAGGAATTTTTATGAAGGGACGGATGTGGGGGAGATTATTGTTGGTTGAATAACGGAAAAAAATATAAAGAAAATATTATTGCGCCAGAAAACCCCCTCCGCACTAATTTAGATTATTATTGTAAAGGAGAAAAACTCCAAAAACATTCCATTAATATAATTGGAAATTTAAAAAGATTTAACGAATTTAAAATAAAAATATATTTTTTGAAATCTTTTTATGTTTTAGTGACCGGCAAAATCATTTTTCCGGGCCCGGAAACCGGATTTTGGATTTTACACTCATGCCGGACCGGATCCGGCCGGATTTTTCAGGATTAATCCGGTCCGGAAAAAATCCGGAAATCGCGAAAAAACCCGGATTTGGGACCCGGGGCCTATTCCACCAAACGACAATGACATCAAATGTCGATGTCCAAGTGTCAATCGCGATTGCGACATTGACATAGGATTGTGTTCCACTAAGCGACAACTAAATTTGTGACATTTCTAATGACATCGACACCAATTGTCGACAGTGACACACGATTGTGTTCCACTAAAGAAATAGGTCTATGTCATTGTCGAAATGTCGATGTCATCATTAAGCTATTTGTTTTTGTTTAAATTTTGTTCGTTATCTATTTTTTAGTTTATTTCTTAAGTTGTTTTCTTGAATTTTGTCTTTCCTTTATCCATTGAGGAAAATTTGGAGTGATTAAGAGAATTTTAGTGGATTTAGAGTGATTAAGGAAATTTTAAATTAGGTATTCGAGATTCGATCGAATATTTGTGAATTTTTTCAAATTCGAAGTTTCAATTCAAATTCGACCACAAACAAAAGGAAAGCCAGCAATTTAAAAAAAATCTCTTGCAATAGCTGAACAATAATCTACTTTTTGCGGCCAAACAATTGAATGTTGGAATTCCTCATTAATCACTGACGTAACTTCTCTTATTGAACGACAAGCAGTTCCCTTACCTATCCCTAAATAAAGAGATTTTTGAATAAAACTTTAATCGGAGGTCATTAGTTTATAAAAAATAATCAAATCTGCATAAAATTTATAAAAAAGTACACTTATAAAAAATTTCATCGAAAATTTCGATTAAGGATCCTTGATTGAAATAATCGATTGCTTATTGGAGAGAACGAGTCCCTTTTTCGCTAAAAAATGGGGTACTTTTTGCGAGAGATTATAGAAAATTTATTTTTGACCAAAAATTTTTAAAACTTATATAAAATTAAAGAGCACACTCTAATCTCTCTAAAAATATTTACTTTGTAATTTTTAGTTTGTATTTTGAATTTTAAAAACACAATTTCTCATTAACGACATAGCCCTAACGCTGTGTCGCCGAAAATCGACATTTTGATTGCTAGTGTCGATTGACACTCAAATTTTAAATCTATGTGGAACACAATCGCGACATTTCGCTGTCAATGTCGCTAAAAGTAAATGCAATGTCGTTGTCACAAAATAATTTTAAAGTCGCTATGTGGAACACAATCGCAATCGGAATGTCGGCCGATTGCGAAATGTCGCGACATTTAATGTCAATGTCGTTTGATGGAATAGGCCTCCCGGACTGCGGAAAAATCCGGCCGGATCCGGTCAATACTTTTTATAGCTAATAAAAAATATTAGAATTTTTTAAAATCAAAAATTAGGAATAGAAAAAAGGAGGAAATTCAAAATTGCATGTTTTTGCAGAAAATTAATAATTCAATAAAATTCATAAATAATTTATAATTCAATGAATAAGAAAGTTGTCAATTAAAAATTTTTTCGTATGGAAAAAACTTCAACACAACGTTAGTGCCCCCAAACCTGAAGAAATTTAAAATGGATAAAAATTGAATTGAACGAATCAAGTTTTGAAAAATAAAAAAACAAAATTTATTTATTTAACAATAAAAAATTAAAATATTTTAAATGGAGAATAATCATTTTACTAAACAATTTTAGTTAGCTTTTGGAGGGGCAGTTTCAGATCGCACAGACAAATCACCAACTTCCTCGGCCCCATATTTCTTGCAAAGTTTAACAATACTTTGGAGAGTCCACAATTGTCCTAAAGATGAGCAAATTAAGAAAAGGACTATTAAATTTTTAAAAATTTTATTTTTCTAAAATCTTTTCGACGATTTAACAAGTATGATTTTAAAAGCTGTGGGAAAAAAAAGAAAATATCTAACAAGGAACCATCTTTTACTTTAAGTGCGAGGTTGGTATTTTTTGTACCATTCGATAGAGGACCCCCGACTTTCTATTGGATAGTGTTATCCGTTTTCTTGCAAAATGACTTTGGGTCGAGTTAAGTTTAATTTTAGAGTCTGCATTTATAGGGTGAATAAGCAATTTCTCTTTTTAATTCATACTCAAAAAGCACTCGCCCATTCCTCTTTATTTGTCGTGTCTGACATTTTTTGCACACGACTCTTGCATTCTTTTCTCCTCTGTATGACAATGTATGAAAGCAGAGGAAAGAAGAAATATAACATTTCTCTTCCCGCTTTTGCGTATACTCAAACATCCCAAAAACTAAAACTTTAAACGGTCATAACTCGGCCCAAAGCCATTTTGCAAGAAAACGGATAACACTATCCAATAGAAAGTCGGGGGTCCTCTATGAATGGTACCAAAAAATACCAAATTCGCACTTACAGTAAAAGATGGTTCCTTATGAGGTGTAACAAAATTCCAGAATTTTCTCAAGTAATTTTGGGTTGAATAACTTTTTTAATAGAAAATTAAACCTTTAAGTAAACCTCCAAACTCAACAAACAAATCCCGAGGAGAGTTTGCATAGCTATACTCAGATGCAGGAAGATCACGAAAATATTTGTACACATCCTTCATAATGTCCAACTTCATATAAACACAATTATTAACCTAAAAATGTAACATTAACTCATAAATTTTTAAATAAATTGATGCTAAAAAGACAAAAACATACTCCGAACTGGTCTAGATCAGGTATAGTATTAGGCCATTTAACGGCATCAGTTTTCTTAACAAAAAAATAAAATTTAGGAAAATATTCTCAATTACCTTCATTAACGGGTGCAAAGCAATAAAATACTTCAAAAAATATGTGTGCAGACACTCGAAAAGTCCTAAAAAGTATTGATTTAAATGATTAATATTAAAAATCACTACTCACCGTCAAACATTCCAGAAAGATTACACAAAGTACCATACTTTAATTTAGAAACCAGAGGCCCGGGAACGTATTCGTCCACAACACCCAATTGTTTAAAAATTTCTCCAATAACATCATGCATACTCTTATACTCCTAAAATTAAATTAAAATTTTAATATTAAAATTAAAAGCATGAATACCCACAAATTTCAATTTAATTATAAATTCTTTTTGATGTTTAATTATTAAAATATCAAATAAACCAGAGACACGGATATTTTCCCATTTTTGATTTAAAGGAATGGAAGTGATTATTTCGGAGGTTAATTCAATGGGTAATTTTCTACTGATTATCATAGGAAAATCAGTGTATTCTCCATTTTTAGATTTTTCAAAGAAACCGGGGCACTAAATATGAATCTTATAGCATTAAAAGTTTACGGAAATTTTTAACCATCTCGGTGCGAAATTCGCCAGTTTGAATCAAAAAAAGAAAAAATTACAGTAGCGTAAGTTATTATTAAAAGAGAAAAACACCCCACAAAAAATACGTGAAAAAAGCAGAATAGGGCAAAAAATTTTGGGCCCGGTGAACCCAGCTCCGGAGAGAGCTGTTACTGGCAAAATTAGGATTTCTTAGTAATAGTTAAGTTTGTGTTTCCCCTTTTTTCTTTCGGCTGTAGTGTAGTGTACCGAGGTAAAAGTTCGGAGCGTGACATATGTCATTCGATTCGTCTCGATGAGCTGAGTCGAAGTTGCCACTCCCAATGCAGGAAATGATTCTGGACCGAGTTATGGGTCCCTAAATATTGAAAAACCATTGGGGGATTAAGGTCGATGGCCTAAGTACACTTTACCGGGGGATTTTAGATTTGAACAATTTATATGTCAATCGAAAGAGCTCGTCAAGCTGAGTCGAATGACACCAAAATTAGCCCGCGGACTCAACTGTGGGCCGAGATATAGGGCTCGAAATGGTCAAAAACCATAGGGGGGAGTAAGCTCAATTTTGGGGTGAAAAATTCGATTTTACAAATAATAGCTCATTCGAAAGAGCTCCTCGAGCTGAGTCGAATGACACCAATATCACCGTGATTGAACAAGATTAGACAAAGTTATGACACAAAAACAAAAAACCTAAACCTATGGAGCGTCGGCGAGGCGCTTGTGCAAAACCCAGCGCTTCGCGCTGGGTTTTGCGGCACGCGCCTCGCGGGGAGTCTACGGGCGCTGGGTCTGGGCTCGTAACATAAACCTATTCCTATCTCCCTTGCTCTGGACGTATTTGTGGCCTCCGTAGCAGCAAAAATCTCCACAGATGCCATAGGTAAGGAGCTAAAATAAAAGATCATAACTTTGTCCAATTAAGTCGGATTTCGTTGATTTTGGTGTCATTCGACTCAGCTCGACGAGCTCTTTCGAATGAGGTATAATTTGCATATTCGAATTTTTTACCCCAAAAAAATGCTTGGTCCCCCCTATGGTTTTTCGATTTTTGGGGACCCATATCTCGGTCCATAGTTGAGTCCGCGGACTAATTTTGGTGTCATTCGACTCAGCTTGACGAGCTCTTTCGATTGACATATAAATCATAAAAATCTAAAATCCCCCGGTAAAGTGTACTTTAGCCAGGTCGATTTTGGAATAATATAACTCAGTCCAGAATCATTTCCTGCAGTTGGGAGTGGTACCATCGACTCAGCTCATCGAGACGAATCGAATGACATGACACGTCACGAACTTTTACCTTGGTACACTACACTACAGCCGAAAGAAAAAAGGGAAAACATAAACTTAACTATTACCGGATTTCTTTATAAAATTCCACTGAATCGGACCAAACAATTTAGAGCCCAATATTCCGCTTTTTTCACTTAGAGCCTTTGGAGACCAAAATTCCGAAATGTAAAACGCAAACATCCGTGACCCATTCCTGAACAATAACTAATCCTAGGAAAATCCTAGGATTTTTCTGCTTATTAATGTTGATAAATTTAAAAAATAATGTACCTACGTATTATCTGTCAACACTTTTTTAACTAATTAGATAAAAAAAACTTGTATGACCAAATTCAACGATTGAACAAAATCATGACCAGCTGTTTTACCTATACCATGTGGCATATAATTATGTCGAGGATGATACGACGGCGCCTTGAAAATAAATCAATACAGGGTTTCTTCAAGCATTTTCATTTGGTCATAATTTTGTTTGAATCATCGAATCAATATGGTCTGTGTCAATCAACTCATCTTGACGAACTTTCGCTTATCATTGCAAGTTTTTCATATCTCCAATCTCGCCAATTAAAAGTGTTGACAGACGTAATACGTAAATACCAAAAAGTATTAAAGTTTAACCGGCATAGCCTCAATTTGTCGGCTTAATTCTTCCATATTTCTTGTAGTGAACATTCTTAATTCTTCGAATTAAAATTGATTGAATTTAACTAATTAAATCTAAAAAATTTAAAAGTATTAAAAATCAACATTAAAATGAAAATGAATGTTTTAAAAAATATTTTTTTAACTATGTATTCTGACAATTAGAATCGGCTACATAAGAATAGAGAAAAGAAAGTTTTGGAGAGTGTTAAGAATTTGAATATTTCCTTGTCTAAAATAACAAAATGCTAAATTCAGTTTACCAAAAATTTTTTCGTCAACCTTCGAGAAAATATCAACTAGCCATATCTTGTAGCGGGACACGCCCGATTAGGCGCGGGCCGACTACCGATTAGGCGCCAAGCTTATTATTTAAATATTCTGATTATAAAGAATGGTCCATCGACCATCAAAAGGGACCATTCTGAAATTCAAAACAAAAATTTTCCTAAAAAGAAAATTTCCAAAAAAATTTTTCCAAAAATTTCCCTAAATTAAAAAACCTTGAAAAGTTTCACGACCAAAGACCAGAATATGGTCTCCTTATCGACTGGGTATAATTTCAGAAAACGAACAGATCCGAAATAGGTCAAATTATATGTCATTCGAAAGAGCTCGTCGAGTTATGTCGAATGCTGAAAAAATTTTTGTGTGGACTCATAGAGTGCTGAGATATAGGTCCGCGAAAATCGAAAAACCATAGGGGGACCAAGCACTTTTTTGGGGTGAAAAATTCGAAAATGCAAATTATACCTCATTCGAAAGAGCTCATCGAGCTGAGTCGAATGACACCAAAATCAACGAAATCTGACTTGATTTGACAAAGTTATGATCGTTTGTTTTAGCTCCTTACCTATGGCATCTGTGGAGATTTTTCCTGCTACGGAGGAAGCCAGATAACCCATTACAGCGATAATTGAAATAGGATTAAGTTACGAGCCCAGAACCCATCGCCCGTAGACTTCCCGCGAGGCGCGTGCCGCAAAACCCCGCGCGAAGCGCGGGGTTTTGCACAAGCGCCTCGCCTACGCCCCATAGATTTACGTTGAACATTTTGGGCCTCTATCTCGGCTCAAAATCAGGATTTCGAGTTGATTTTGGTGTCATTCAACTCAGCTCGACGAGCTCTTTCGAATAAGCTATTATTTGCATTTTCGAATTTTTCACCCCAAAAAAAGTGCTTGGTCCCCCCTATGGATTTTCGATTTTCGGGGGCCTATATCTCAGCCCCTCTATGAGTCCGCACGAAAATTTTTCCACCATTCGACTCAACTAGACTAGCTCTTTCGAATGACATATGATTTGACCCATTTGCGCTCTGTTCGTTTTCCGAAATTTTTCCGGTTTAAGTTATTCAAAATTCTTGTAAAGATTCATGATCATATTTAAATTCAAACAACTAAGTTATATTCTCAAAACCAAGTTTCTTGGGAAAATAGACGTTATCAAAGCACATTAAAAACAACATGGCTCAGAAACAAAGGGAGGAGGGAAAATTTGAGGAAGTGGACCACATAAGAATCAGTGAGTAGTGAGAGTGAAGACGAAAAAATTATTCTGTGCTATACTTAATTAACATGATGATTAAAAAAAAGGACGAAAATCAAAAAACATTTTTGTTAAGAATTTAAAGCATAAATTTTTAAAGAAATGTCAAAGTGGTTTTTCTTCATTTCGGTAAGTGAACCAAAATTTTTAAATTACATGCATTATTTACCGGCCACTTTTTCGCGGTCCATTTTGTAGCAGACCTGTCTCGTTTAATAAATCTTGAAGTTAACCTTTAGTAGAGGTTTCACCGTTCTGATTTTATTCCAAAACATGGCTTCTTTTAAGCGGTTTTAACCCTTATTTTTTAAATTTTCTTGTGAATTGAAGCAACTAGTAATTTGCCGGTATCAACGGATTGGGATGCCTAACTTTCTATTATTGTGACATTTATGTCCATTGAAAAAGGAAGAATTCTTATCGTGCTACTCTTCAGTTGCGTCGTAATTACGATTTCAAATTACGGCATTCTTTGAGTTACGAATTACGATTACGGAAAAAATTCTCGATTACGACGCAACCCTGCTACTTTTCCACCGTTTTGACAATTTTAACTTTACATTGACCAAATCGAGCTCAATCTGGGATTAGGTTTAGGTCGTTCTCCGATCTTTTCACTGATTTTTCTCTTTTCATTCAGTCTCAATTGAATTATTTATCCATTCCTTTTTAAATCCTGTTTTAATTTTCTAATTCTCTTTAAAAAACTTTTAAAATGAATTAGTTGGAAATTAGATTTAAATTGGTTAGATTTTTGTTAAACAGATCTGCCCATTTAGTATTTTTACCAACAAGATTATTTACACGTTTATTCCTTTACAAAAAAGTATTAGAAAATTTTATCAAAAATTAGGAATGCGAAAGAGGAAGAAATGCAATTGCATGTTTTTTAATAGCTGTCTTTATTATATAATTCAACACAGGAATTACAAAAATTTAAGAATTCACGGGGCCGGGATATACAGAATTAAAGGTGAAAACAACCTTTTGTCAGATCTATTAGAGTAAATAAAGGTCCAGAAATTGTGTTGAATTATTAGAATAAAGTCAAAGAAAGAACAGATTTTAAAAATAAAAGTATTAAATGTCATGATTTAAGAAACAAAAAAAAAGAAAAGCATTATTGTTTTTACTTGACTAAAAAATTCTTAAAAATGCTTGAATTAAAACGTTGATAGGAAAATTAATTAATTAAACAAAAAATATTTTTTAGACAGCCTTAAATGCAAATTAAAACAAAAATTCTCTCTCCTTATTTTTTAATAGCTGTCTTTATTATTTAGAGATGACCGGATTAAAGGAATTGGAGATTGTTGTTCTGTATTATTAGATTGTTGTACTGGGAAAGAGTTAAGCATCTGTAAAGACTGGGTCAAAGCTGGTATCACCGAGTTTATTTGTTGAAGACACTCGAGAATTTGTGACTAAAAAAAGAAAAAAAAATTATTAAAAGATTTTAAAAAACAAATTTTCTTGTAGAAAATGTTTGACACTCGCTTAAATTATAACAAATCGTAGCAAGTAACACACCAAATTCTTTCAATTTTGCACAAACATTATGAGATTTCCTAGTCAAAATAAAACAAGGAAAACTCTCCGTGAATGTGCTAAAAGTATTCTAACAGCAAGACCGTTAACCACTTAACCACCAATGCTTCTTGCAAACTCCTATTAAAAGTATTCTTTTAATTTACCTGTGTATTTTGAATCATTTCCACTTTATTTTCGAGAGTATTTACATTCTTCTGAATTGTTTCTCTTGAAACTAAATCATCCATACGACGCAAAATTGCCTCCGTTCTGAAAAAAATTTTTGAAAAAAATATTTATGATTTAAATAAAATTTTTTGAAGGCAAAAAAAGCGTCAGAATGGACATATACAAATTAATTACTGTCACAGAAAAACTTTCTCAACTTCCATTTCTCAATCATTCGCAATTTATTTAAAAATAAATTTTATTAAATTAATTTTCTACCTTTCACAAGTCCTGTTTAGCCTTTCTTCATTAGAACGATTTCTTGCAAGTTCTTTTTCACGAGCTAAATTTTCCATACATTCAGCTTCGAATTCATGAATTTTTTCGACTTGTTCGTCAGTCAGAAAAAGTTCTGAAAAAATTAATTTTAGTAAACAAATTGTTCAACGGAATTCCTCGATGAGAAGGGAAATTAATTTAACAGATTTCCTTCCCTAAAATTTCCAAGGGAGAGCACCAAAATAATATCCCCATTCCCAGGCCCGTAGCCGGGGGGGGGGGGGGGGTGAGGGGGGAATTCCCCCCCCCCCCCCCCCCCCGAAATGGGAAAAAGGAAAAAATTTGGGGAAGGGCTGGGGCAAAAAAAGTGAATTTTTTTGGCCTACGGCCTCTGAAATTTAAAAAATTTTCGCCTGCGGCGCTAAAAAAGGAAGAAACCCCCCCCCCCCCCGAAAAAAAATCCTGGCTACGGACCTGCCCATTCCAATCCCTCCCAACATTAAATTTAAAAAATTAAATTTAAAAAAAACTCACTCAAAGAAAAATCAAAAAGAGCAAATTGTTCTTGTTTATTATAATTTCTGGCTCTTTCTTGAAGATTTTGTCTTTGTTCAAAAGCATTTTTAGCAAGTGGAGGTATTTTATTATTAATTTCATCATTTTTATTTGATTGTTGTTGCTTTTCTTCCAATTTTTCTTCCTTTGGTTCTTCCTCCAAAACATCTTTTCTTCGTTTAAAAAATTTTCTGTTGTTTAATTGCCTCGTTAAAAATGCAAAACAAATACAAAAAGATCCATTTCGATAATTTAAATATTTATAAATCATATAAATATGATAAATTGGGGTAAATGGAGGTGGAAGAAAAGGTGTTGCTTCATATTCCATTACTTGACGATATCTTTGAAAGAGCCAAATTTGTTGAGATATTTTTATTGTTGAATCAAAAATGTTGTTAAAAATAGCAATTAACATACTAATTAATAAAATATTTGCAATTAAAAGAAATACAGTCATTAAAATTGGAGGAATCCAATGGCCAGGAACACAAGCTAGTTCTTTGTCTCTATTATCACGATGAGTCCATGCTGTAGATATAGAAATGTTTTTGTCAAGATGTTCGTCCCAGGCTGAAAAAATTAAGAATTAATTAAAAAAATAACACAGAGAGTGAATAGTTTAGATTTTAAACCATGGGGGTAGTGGAATATTAGACTTGCCTACTGACATGAGTTTTAAAATTTGATAAATGATTACAATCGTTTTTTCCTTCGCGTTTAATTGATTATTTTTAGTCAACCCAAATTTTGAAAAAAAAAATTTTGGAAAAATTGAAGCTTGTCATTTAGAATAGAGATTAAATATAAATTTAAAAATACTCTAAAAATATTCAGTCGAAACTTCCCAAGAAAAATTATTTTTAAAAAATTAAAAAAAAACCTTCATCTCCACAAGTATCAATTTCATCAGCATAAACTTCTCCATATAACATAAAATAAGGTTTATAAAAAACATTTCTTAGCAATAACCAATGCCAATCTTCATTTGGATATGTAATTGATTGCCGTGCCAAACCAAATCCTAATAAAGAAATTCCCAACATAACAACAATTGAGCTCATATTCATAATCTTAAGAAAAGATGAAAAATAATTGAATAAAAAATCTTTCAAACCATTTTCCCAGCCATTGTAATATAAGGTCCAAAACGTGGAAAAACTCCCAAAAAGTCCAGCAATTTAATTGTCCAAAGAACAGAATCAACAGCTAAAATTATTCGCCCAACACTTTTACTAAAATATTGAAAAATCACCTCTACTAATCCAAAATTAAAAAACCTTGTTGACGGATTCAAACGGAATATAAAACCAACAACAAAACCAAGAATAGCAACTGTTGTAAGAAAATTCCAATAATTACCAAAAAAGTATTGAACTTTTTCTGAGAATTTTTTTGGTTCAGACATGGCAAACTAAAAATTTTTGTTTTTAAAAAAATTTCTAAAAAAATTTAAACCTTTCTAACAGTCTCAATCCCAAAACCAACAACATAAGCAAGTAAATACCATTCCAAAAATGTTGGTTTAAGTGGAGTTCGAATAAGCAAAACATATGTAAGGGTGGATAAAAACACAACAAAACTAAGCATCCAAGCCCAAAAAGTTGTTATTGGAGCAACAAAAAATTCATAAACTTTGCGACGAAATTTTATTTGACGCTGAGAAAAAGAATTAATTTAAAAAAATATTAATGAAAAAGAAAAAAAAACCTTTTTATTTAACGTCACCCCCTCTGGCAAAGGAATTCCTTTTGGTACATGTCCTCCACTAATTGTTAACCTGCTATTAGGATGTTCCATTGTTTTTGGTTTATCGTTTGTAGCAATTCCAGCTCCAATGTTTTTCACAAATTTCCAGCGGTTATTGAATGGAAATGATTTCGTTTGATGAATGAAAGGTCTATCTGAAGGGTTCCGATCAGGTGAAGGAATATCTGAATTTATTAATATAATAACAAAAAAATCAGTTGGGAGATCTGAGAAGTCAAAGATGTCCTACAACTATTCAGATTTTAAGAAATTCTCAGAATAATTCATGGAATTCGAGCTTTTATAAAATTACGTAAAAAACTACCCAAATCCCTCAATAAAAATAAAAACCTTGTTCTTTATCAACAGATAATTTAACAACTTCATCAGAAATTGTAGAAGTAGAATTTCTTTGAATTGAATTAGAATCCTTCTCTTCTTCTTTTCCACTCGTAACAATATCATCATTTCCCAATAAAAATTGAGGATGATGATAAGCATTAACGTCTATATGTAAAGGTGTTACTGTTGTTGGAAGTTTTAATGAAGATTTAAGAGGAAGTGATGATGGTTTTGAAATTTGATTGGAAAGGGAATCTGAAAATTATATTTGTAAAAATTGAATAAAAAAAGTGGAGGGTTTGGCGACAATAAAGTGAAGAGACTCTTACCCATGTAATATTAGAAAAAACGGCAACTGACATAAATTTAATTTCGATTTCCAGGTTTAATTTGAAAATGGATAAAAGAAAAAAGGCCTGTGTCCATGAATAAACATTAAGAATTCTGACAGATTTGGCGTGAACCCAAAATGTATTTTAATTTAATAAGCGACAGATCTAAGGGCCTTCTCAAAAACTCTTACAATCTGATGGTGACGTATCTCCTCCTGCAGTTTCGATTATTGATTGACCACCAACAGTTGCTGCATTACTAGCATTTATTCTCCTCTGTCGTTCAGCTCTGGTTTTCGTTTTGGGCCTTCGCAATTCTCTCGCATTTGAACGGCTCCGTCCAACAGAAGGTTCGTCTAAAAGATTTCGGCATTCTGAGGACAGGTTTAAAGAAAGCTCACAGCAAAGCTGTTGAGAAAAACTAACCTTGATTTGAAACTTTCCCAAGCTCAAGATCCTGAGTATTGAGGCTATTTGAGGCATTTATGTGAGAAGAACGTTTACTTCGCCTCTTGCTTTGAAAAATCTAAAAATATAAATATCTGGGGAAAATCTTCGAAAAAACTAACCGATGTAAAATTTAATGATTGCATACTCCCCCTAGAAGAAACTCTTCGTCGTCTATCACTCAAAGAAGCTCCACCAGTTTTCTCAGATAAATCATAATCAGAATCTACATCTTCATTTTCGCTTTCTGATGGAGAAGAGGAGGGCGAAGAAACGGAAGAATCTGATGACGAAGAGGAAGAATCGTTAATATCTTCTTGATGTTCTGCAGCCGTTTGAGGTTGAAGCATTAATTCCTCACGAGATTTAAACCTAAAAATAAATATTAGAAAGCAAAAGTTTTCATATAAGACTTACTCAAGTAGAAAAATAGATGGTGGAAAAATTATACCAAGAATCACTTTTAAATTTGAATTGCTAAAAAATATTCAAGTTAATTTTTTAAACCGAAAAGTGTTTACCTTCTAATACGCAAACCACCATGCCATAAATCAGCCAGCAAAATTTGACAACTAAATAAAATAAAAATTGAATAAAAAATCTTAATAAAATTTAAATAAAAATTTCTAATTACAATTAGTTTTGAAATAAAGATCGGACTAGATAAGGGCCAGAAAAATACTCTCAATGCTACAGACAATCTTTTTTCTAGGGGTCAGTAAAATCCAAATTCACCCATTTTTTGATTTCTAACATAGGTATTTTCTAATTAACAAGATCTAACAAAAATTTTTTGTAACTTGGCTAGAAAAAAATACCAAAAACTAATCTAAATATTCGAAAACTTCTTACCAAGGATGAGCCAAAAATTGTTTGTTGTTAACCAAAACAGCAAGTGAAAGGCACGTTTCTCTTCCCCAATAAGCTAATTCATATGTTAATAGTTGTAAAGTTTGAGCATCATCTTCTTTATAACAATGATCAAGTAAATCAAGAGATAACTGTCTAAATTCTTCAGCACATTTCTTCAATTCTTCACAAACTTCCAATTCCAAATAATCTTCCGCCGCTTCCTTAGCCAAACTTTTATATAAACGACACGTTACCAAAGCTTTAGCTAAAGCCTCCTGTCCATGTTGCCACATACAAATAGCCATATCGTGTCTTTTTGTTAAAACAGCCCAAATTAAAAGATCAGAAAAAGGATAACGAAAGTCTCTCGTGTGGGTTTCATCCCTCACATCCAAAAATTCATCAGCATCAAAAGAATTATTGCCGTCAGGAAAACCAGTAAATTGTTGATTTGTTCTAATAAATGGTTGTTGTTTTGAACTATTTGCTACTTGTTGTGGGGCCGTTGGAAGATGACTGACATTATCTCTACGACAAGCACTTCTCCATAAAATATGGCTACTTAAAGTACGACTTCCACAAACAGCTGGAATTTGTGTGTAATTTAAAGTAGCTTTATTTGTTGATCTGTCAGTTGTTGGAGGACTTCCAATGTTTTGATTTGTTCGGGTATCCGAAACATTTTGCTTAAAAAATAAAAAAAAATTGGTTAAAATCTAAACTTTATTTTTTACATTTTTATTTTTGGGAATTGATGGGAGCTGATTTACTTGTTGATGATTTATTTTGCCAGACAATCTTGTATCTGAAGCAGAAGTTGGAAATCCTCTAGCCGATGCACGAGCAAAAAATTCTGAACCACAGCGAGGGTAAGATGTTGGAGGGGAACTGCGTTGGGTGAGATCTTTTTGATGTTCACTTATTGAATGAAGACGTTGATATTCCTGAAAAATTAGATTCATAATTTTAAAATAAGGGTTTTAGAATGCCGTTTTAGGGAAAAATAGGGGGTATTCGTGAGAATAAAGAATTATAAGAGACAGAGAGGGAAAATACCCCCTCATGACAAAAATAAGGGAAAATTCGTTAATTGTTCAAAAAAGACTTCTGTGGATTTTTAACATTCCGTGGATTTTTTTTGTCTTTCTAATTTTATTTTCCATCTACCTAAATATCACTTAATAATTATTCAAATATTATTTTCACTTTTAAAAATAATTATTATGCTAATTCATTTGCGACAGTCATCAACAATAACCCCCCTCCTTTTCTGCTTTTTTATTCTCTTAGGAAATGCGCATGCGAATATTGTGGCATCAGTGCGGGTAAAAGAATGGCACACATCCCTTCACATTTTTTATTTTTTAAAAATCTTTTCCAGTAAATGTCACCCAACAAAAAATTGTAAATTTTAGTCAAATCCTCTAAAACTAGTTGATAAAATCTAGGGTTTTCAATCCAAAACTTGACCTCAACGGAAGTTAAATTTTAGCTTATTGCAGAAATTGGGGTCTTAATAGGAATTATGAAAAATTCAAGTCATAGTACTAGAGAAAGCATGGCTCCATAAATTTAAAAATTCAGATTTTGGGAACGGGGTGTTATTAAAACTAATTTTCCCAAAAATATTTTTGGTTTATCCTTATAAAAATAAATTTAAAATAATCAAAAGTATAATTAAAAAATCTCTTAAAAACAAAGTAGCATCTCAAAATTTCAACTACTTAAAAATGTCAAAAATCAACTCCTCAAACAACAAAACCCCAACCTCCTTAACCCACCGAAATACAATAAATTATAGAGAACGATGTCGAATGCACGATTTAAACGCTGCTTTAGATGACCTACGTGCTTCTATTCCTTATGCCCAAGGAGGGAATATTAGAAAATTATCAAAAATTGCTACTTTGTTATTGGCAAAAAATCATATAATAATGCAGGTTGGGTTAAGAAAAAAATTTTTTAATTTTTTGTAAAAAAAAGTTTTCAGGCTAATGCTATATTAGAATTAAAAGAAAGGTTGGAGAAATGCCAGAAACGCATTAAAGAATTAGAAGAACAAAAAAATATTAAAGAATGTCAGAAAAAGTAGAAATTTTGAGGGGATTTTTTGTCAAAAATTTAAACAAAAAAATTAAAATTTTTGCTTTGTAAAAATAAAATAAGAAGCCCTACCCAATTAATAAATTTAAAAAATAATTTTAAAAAAACCAACTTTTAATTTACTTCTATATTCGTTGTATTTTTGACGAAAATGTGAAGATGTGTAATGTGAACGAAATCCGTTAGCCATTAATTTTTCTACAGCCATCCCAATATGTGGTAATTTATAACGATAACCAGCACGGATTTTAACAACGTCACGAACAATATAACTTAAAATTAAGGTTGTTCTCTTGGTTTTCGATTAATCAAAATTTTAAAAGAGCGTAGCTAGGGGCTATAAGGCTATAGCCCTCACCAAAATGGGGAAAAGGAAAAAATATTGTGAGAAGGATGATTTAAAAAGTGAAATTTTATCGCTTACACCTTCAAAATTAAAAAATTTTTGGCGCACACCCCCATTTTACCCATGAAATCGAACCCCTGGCCTACGCCCTTGGGCTCCAGTAAAAAAATATAAAAAGATACTATTATAAATATTTTTTAAAAAATTATTAAAAAAAACCAACTAAAGAGTATTTGGAGGTCCTTGATCAGTATTATATAATTCTTCTAATCTAGCAATTGTAAGAAATTCGTCCATATTAACACCATTTTCAAGCAAAAGACGAACAAACTCAACACGGTTGTGAATAAGTGATTCCATCATTGCATTATGTAAAATACTTTTTGGTAATATCTTTAAAAAATCAAAATAATTTTTGATAAAAACAGAAAGGTTAAATATTACTGTCGATAGGGAAAGGAGGGGATATTTTAAGAGAGTGGAGTAAAAAAGTGGACAAGAAAGCCTCCCAAATTTTAATCAAGTTGGCACTGACGAAAAGAATTAAACGTTCGTCAGTCAAAAAATAAAATTTTTGATTTCTTAGAAATAAAAATACCAATTTCAGACAAGAAAACCCTAAACCCTAAAAATCACCAAAATTTTACCTGTCCAGTAAAAATTTCCGAACGTGCAATATCCGCTCTATTCCACAGGATAGTCCAAGAAATTTGTTCAGATAACGTCAACTTGCTGTGTTTTAACAAATCGGACAGGGGGGAATTGTTGTTGTTTCTTTTCTTCTCAAAAGACATTTTTCAAGATAAATAAAATTGTAAAGAAAAACTAAAAATTAAAATTTAAATAAATTTAATAAAAATTCAAAAAACCTCTCGAAATTGTGTATTTATTAACCTGGAGGATCCAAACCAGGATGAATAAGAATTCCTCCAAAAGGCGGCGTTGGTACTATATCCGCAAAATTTGAAGAATTTTTGTCAGAAAGAGTCTCCACCATTCAATGGAGGTAAAATTAAAGATCTTCTTCTTTTTTAAAGAGATCTATTATTTCTTTTTAAATATTTTCTTTTAAAATTTTTATTGAACCTGAAAAAAAAGAAAAATATTTTTTTGTGATTCAAGTACAATACAAGTGGGTACAACCCATTTAGGCGCCGGCCATAACTGCGCAAAGCCATAACCTGCTTCAAGACTTCCAAATCTTATCAAATCCAGTATTAAACGATCCCTCTAATCGAGCTAAAGAGATTGATAATAAAATTGATAAGGGCCAGAAAATTTCTGGCAAATTATGGCTTTGCGCCGTTATGGCCGCGCGCCTAATTGGGCGTGTCTCCTATACAAGTATTTAAAAAAAATTAAATTTAAATTGAATCACTTCAAATTAAAAATGTGATATCACCCAATTAAAAAAAACGAAAAAGAAAAAGCTTTCACAATTAAATAGGAACGTCATTCCATCAATAAAAATAAAAACGTCTAAAAATAACAAAAGTACTTAAAATTCTCTAACAAATTAATAAAAATCCGTGTCCGGTTAACTCATCTACTCGTTAACTCATCTACACGGCCAAAAACGTTCAACTCATCTAAACGGCTAAAATTCCTTAACTCATCTACACGGCCAAAAAGGGATCAACTCATCTAATCGTTAACTCATCTAATCGTTAACTCATCTACACGGCCAAAAAGGGTTAACTCATCTAATCGTTAACTCATCTAATCCTTAACTCATCTACACGGCCAAAAAGGGTCAACTCATCCAATCCGAAACGAGACTATTGAGTAACGGCCGTTTGAGTCTTTGGCCGTCTGAGTCTTTGGCCGTCTGAGTCTCCGGCCGTCTGAGTCTCTGGCCGTTTGAGTCTCTGGCCGTTTGAGTCTCTGGCCGTTTGAGTGGTAAGTTGAGTCCATGGGTAAGTTGAGTCCATGACCAGTTGAGTTCATGGGCAGTTGAGTCCATGACCAGTTGAGTCCATGACCAGTTGAGTCCATGGCCAGTTGAGTCCATGACCAGTTGAGTCCATGGCCAGTTGAGTCCATGGCCAGTTGAGTCCATGACCAGTTGAGTCTCAACCGGCGGTACTCTACTGGCCATGGACTCAAACGGCCGGTACTCAATAGTCTAGTTCCGAAGGATTGGATGAGTTGACCCTTTTTGGCCGTGTAGATGAGTTAAGGATTAGATGAGTTAACGATTAGATGAGTTAACCCTTTTTGGCCGTGTAGATGAGTTAAGGATTAGATGAGTTAACGATTAGATGAGTTAACCCTTTTTGGCCGAGTAGATGAGTTAACGAATAGATGAGTTAACGATTAGATGAGTTGTATAGGAGCCTAAAAATCTGCTTCTCTAATTTAAACAGAAAATTTAATTAAACATAATGCCAAATGAATAATTAATTAATTATTTTTAAATTAAAAGGAAAGAAAAATTATTCATAAACGTAACAAAAATTCCTAAAATTCTTTTAAATCAGATGGGAAAGAAAACAATTTATTTATCAAAAATTAACAATGATAATCTTATCAATAATATTTTTAATTCTATTTTTGGATAAAATAAATAATTTTTTTATTAATAAGTGGAGCAGAAAGTACTTTAAAATTTCCCTTAAATTTTTCATTTTTCCCATGGTTCAAGGACATCAAAGAATTTTTTCTTTAAACGAGACCTTTTATTCTTCCTTTTTTCTTAATGATCACCTCCACATTTCTTTAAAAACTTCCCCTTATTACAAAGATTTTCCCCTCTCCCTTCCCCTCTCTCACTTCCCTCCTTACCCTCTCCCTTATTGTTAAGGGTAAACAATTGATATTTATATAAATTTGTTAAAAAAATATTTTTTTATTTAAATATTATTTACAAGAATATTTATATTTGAGTATTTAATCTCTCCAAAAATTATTTTTAAATGCTCCCTAATTTTTTTTCAAAGTTTTTTATTCATTCCAATCGACCAATAATGGCGAGACCAAAAACGATGAATTAACTAAACAATAAATACATATATATTTAATATTTAAGTGGGTGGAACGCGAGAGGGAGGAAAAATTAGAAAAAAATATTTTATAAAAAAATTTAAAAAGTAAAGAAACAAAATTTCTTTTTAATTTAAGAAAGAATAAAATTTAATTTTTAATTAAAGCTTCATTTTTAAATAAATTGTCAATAGGTACGGAAAAGTTGCTAAAATGCCTAGCTGACAAAATGAAAATATTGAGGGAATCTATTTAAAAAAATTTTTTTTAATTTTTTTTCTGACCTAGATTTTGTGAAACTCACAAATTTAGTAAAAATTATTTTTCTAAATTTTTTGGGTGACATTTCTGTTAATTGACATTGAACTTGCTCAGGGACATTAATGATGAAAATTCCATAAAAATAAAATAATAATTCAAAAATATTTTTTATTTTTAAAAAAAATTAAAAAATTGGCCCACCCCAAAATATAAAAAAAAGATTTTAAAAGTATTTAAAAAAGTCATTAATAAATGTCACACACAAACATTTTTTATTACTTAAATATAAGTATTTGTCTATAATAAAAATTGAAAAAAGTAAATAAAATTTTGTTGATAATAATCTCTTATAGTTGAAACAAACAATTTTTTAAATTTTAAAATTAATTTAAACAATTATTTTTAAAAATTTAATTTCTCTAAAGAATAGATAAAGGAGAAAGGTTACAAGGATTAAATGAAATACTAAAATTAGAGGAAAAGTACCCCGAGGGTCGGGATCGGGGTTTTTGCCAAAAAAAATCTTCGGGGGACGGGAAGCTACCTACTCTAAATTAAGTATTAGAAGGGAATAATAATTTCCAGGTTTCGTTTACTACTTTTTTTTCTCTTGATTCCCAAGTTCTCAAAATTTTCTGAAATTTTCTAGTTCCAAAATTTAAACTATTTCCAACAATTACCTCTGAAATAAGAAAAGAATCGACTGGAAAGCGGGGCATAGTAACCCTCTGATACATACTATCAACTTAATCTTAAAATCTGTTTTTGAAAATATTTATTTAGCAATTTTTTATAAATTAGGAAATTAATTTATTTTTAATAAATAAAATTTTATAACAAAATTTAAAAGGAAGTAAAAAATTAATAAATAAAGATTTTTTAATTTTATGGAAAAAAATTTTTTTAATTAAAGGGGAAGTATTGAAATTAATATTAAAATGTGAGAAAAAAAATATTTTTTTAATTCCTTTTAAAATTGATAAAAATCTTTTCTTCCCCTTTTATCAATCAAACGACTTTTTTCCTTTTTCTTTACAGCTTTTCTCGTCTACCCACACAAAAATGCTTGTAAAAGTTTATTTGTAATTTATTATTAAAAAAATACAACTTGGAAATACATATTTAATTTATTTTTAGGGGTCTCCAAGTTTATTTTTTATTCGACTTTGACGCAAAACTTGATGGCGCAGACTTCTTTATTTACTTTTATAATTTTGTTTATTCTGAATCGACCCAAACAAATATATCATTCTAAAGCTTTGAATGTCAAGATTCTTTTTTATC